TTAATTTTGACAATGTTAATATACTTATGAATAAAACTGGGTTTTGTTTTTCAGGGAAAAATTAAGAAGCTTTTGTTCCTTGTAAATCTTAAGTAAAAAGTAAAATAATTAATTTCTTTGATCTAGTGTAATGGGGGTTTTTTCAACTACTCTAATTCAAGTTAATTTATACAACATACTGTGAAGGTATTGCACATGCTGTATTTTAAGAATATGAAGAATGCTAAGACACCTGTGAATCTGGGGATTTCTTCCAGCTTTTCAAATCACTGCTTTGTTTTTAAAAACTGAGCCAATCTTCATAATTTTACATGGGGTTTTTTTGTTGTTTTTGTCTTCCGCGCTAAATGTGTATGGCAGTTCGATCTGTTTGGATGAAAAAACATAAGGACAAAGATAAAGATACTAAAATACACAAAAGTGAAATAAAGGAGTCTCTGTGGATTTTGGCTGTACCTCTGACTTTTTGGGAATGTGTCTCTACCAACATTAACATCCTAAGATGTCCAGCTGTCATTCTATTGAGTAATATGGCTAGATTTTTGACTGCAGCCTGTCTGCATGGACACTGACAATAATAGCAGGACAGGTTGTATAGCAAGTAAATCAGAAAATATTTTCTTGGTACCTTTATACAATCACATACTTGTCCAAAAGAGAAAATAATTTGTATTGATGTCTCTTAACACTGATTATTATTAATTCTGTTAAAAATGTTTTCATTTATCAGATTGTGTTTTATTGGTTTAATATCAAACATTTTTTACATTACCATGTCACTTCAAAAGAATGCTGATTTATTAGAACTGGTGTTGAGTACAGAAACATGGATGAGAAAATATAACTTCAAAAACCACTTTGTGATTTTAGGCCTTTTTGTGACAAATCTCTGACTGAAAATTCCAGTTAGATGTACAAATCTTGATATTCTTATGAAAGTATTCTTTTTTTGAAACTACTTCCTCTCATTTATTAGTTACATGTTTTGCATTTCTAGTACAAGTTCAAATTACCTCCAGTAAGTTGCTTTTCCACATAACTGCACAAATAAATTTCTCCTTGTAAGCAGATTTTAGAAAATTCCAAAATAGGGTGAAAGTGAAACCACAAAGGGAAGTTTTTGAACCGAATATACATATTTTAAAATCTTAAAAATTAAATATATTGGACTGTGAAACCAATTTTCTGATAGATTTTTCCAATCTCTTAGGTTTTTTTGAGATTTCATTGGATAATGCAGAAGATAATGCAACTCATGGAACTGTCTTGCAAGAGCCAACATATGATCTCATAGATTCAATCCCTAATGAATTTTCTTTAAAAAAAATCTTCT